AGGTCCATATTCTTTCTTCATGGAGGAAAGAGAGCTTTGCGGGATAGAGTATTCTTGCTTGGCATCTGTTTTCTTGGAGTCTGTTGACTATGTCCCTCCACTCTCTCCTTGCCCGTAGTGTTTCTTCAGAGAAGTCTGATGTCAGCCTGATTGGTTTTCCTTTGAATGTTATCTGTTTCTTCCCTCTTGTCAGCTTCATTATTTTTTCCTTGTCCTGGATTCTTGGGAGCTTTACTATTATGTGTCTTGCTGTGTTTTTCCTTTCGTCGTGGAAGTTTGGTGTTCTTCTTGCTTCTTGTATATCAATTTTCAGCTCCTTCTTCTCATTTGGGAAGTTCTCTTCAATTATATCCATGAATATTTTCTCTGTTCCTACATCTCTCTCCTCTCCTTCTGGAATTCCTATAACTCTTATATTTCCTTTCCTCATGGAGTCAGATAGTTCCCGAAGTCTTTCTTCATTGTTTTTCCTTCGTACTTCTCTTTCCTTTTCTGTTTTGGTTCTTTTTATTTCTGTGTCTTCAAGAGAACTTATTCGTTCTTCCATTTCATCTATTCTGCTTTCCTTGCTTTTCCCAGAGTTCTTTAGTTCCTCCATTAATTCTTTGATCTCCTGCACTTCTTTTACTTCCCTCTTTAGGGACTCAATTTCATTCTTCTGACCATTGTTTTCCCTCTTTAGGGACTCAATTTCCTTCTTCTGATCTATCACTTTTTTAATCATGGCAATTTTAAATTCTCTTTCTGAAGGCTCAGAAGTTCTTCCAAGTTGCTGTCGTTGCAATCTGGGGAGTGGTTTTCTTTTTGTGGTGTGCTTCTTTCCTGAGGAGTTGTTAGGTTGCGTGTGGTTCTTCTACTCCTTACTGTCTGTTTTCTAATTTGTCATATGCGTTGGGACACTGTGATGCTCGGACTGACTGGCATCTTGGGTGAACTTCTCTGCTCCCCTCTGGCTCTTCCAGGAGCCATCTCTGCCTTCTGGGGGAGCTTTCTGCTGGTTTTAGGCAGTTTTTACTGAAGAAATGTCCCTGTTCTCAAATGGCAAAGCGGGATGCAGTCCCTGCGCCTCCGGTTTCAGGCACACTCTTCTGCGCACCCGGTCTGCCCCGGACGTGGGTGCCTGCTCCCTCTGTGGGCTCAGACTGCTGGTCGGAAGGGGCCTGGCGTGGAATAACTTCCCGGCTGGCCACTGCAGAAGCGTTCTGCCCTTTTCAAGCAGTCTTAAGAAATTTCCTGTTCTATGGGGTGTTAGTGACTTTTTTTTTCCTGGTCACTAGGTGGCGCCAGAGATCTCTCCTATTGTCCTTGGGGGGCTGTTTTTCGTCCCCCCCACCCCGTGGGACAGGGAACAGAGCGGGAATGGTAGGGTACACCTCAACAGCTTTGGGGTGCTGTGTCTGCCTTGTGCCCCACCGTCGTGGAGAACCCACGCCCCGAATTTTCGTGCCCCGGGTCTCAGTTCAAAGCCCTCAGTTCCAGGACGCGGGCTGTAGCCCAGTTCTGTGGCGCGGGAATGGCGCCTTTTGCACTGCTCCCGTGCCTGGGTGCCTGGTTCCTGCTCACTCAGGGAGGGACCTTCACCTCAGTGAGGACCTCCGCGCGTCTCCCCACAAGCCTAGGTCGTCTCCCCGCAAGCCTAGGTTGCAGGCGCGGGTACCTGGGCAGCCGCGATTCTGGTCTGCACTTGCTTTTCAAGCTCCCTGAGCGCGCTGCGTTTCCGCGCCAGCTTACCGGCAGCCCGGGCTGTGTGCGCGTCTCCCGGGGTCTTTGTTCTTTTCTAATGGCGCCCGGAGCCGTTCGCTCACCGCCACAGCGAATCCTGCAGGGTTCGCCTCAGCTCCCGTTCACGGGGTGTGGTGGCTGCAATAGTTCCTTTCCACTCCCAGTCCCGCTTGCTGCTTCGTTTGTTCTTGTGGGCCGTTTTGGTTTGTTGTTTTCTTCCTCTCTGCGGGTCGGAGAGTGCCGCCTCTGTGGGCGGGGGAAGGGAGCAGGGTTCTGCGCTTCCCTCCCTTCTAGTCCTCTTTTATGGCCACTTTCTTCTTAGGGCAGTTTGCTGGCGTCACCTGTTTATCTTCCGTGTCCCGGTTCTCACTGGGACCTGCCGCTTTTCCTCCCTATTAACTTTTTTTAATGGGAGATCTTACTCGCAGCGTCTCCTCGCCGCCATGTTGCTCCGCCCCCCTCGAATGTTCTTCCTTCTTAATCTTCATTTTCTTTTGTTGGCTTAGTAATCTTTGGAAATCATTTATATCCTGGTATAGGACATCAGACCTGCCTTATAACATTGACGATGTTTCTTAATAATGATTTATCTTCTTTTGTGAAAAATTTAGCAATTTCGTCTTTGTGCCCTGTTCTTCCAGTTTGACTTGTCATGTAGATATAGTCCATTGAACTAGCTGGAAAATGACAGTTGATCATACCTTTAAAATAAATCCTTCTGCTGGGCAGAGGGCAAATAAGTAAAGCTGGGCAAATAAGAACCCAAATTATTCCAGCTCTGAAGTTGTGGACTGTGTTACCTCTCTGTTGCTTCATTCTGTTTTCATGAATAGCATCCACATTAATACCTTCATAAATGAGCTAATGAAAAAGATCTTTATCCCTTTCAGTTGAATGAACAAAAACAAGAACAGGTGGCTAGACTTTTTTTAATGAGTTCTCTCAGGGCCAGAGCTTTCTCAATCTCAGATGCAGTAAAGAGAAGTTTTTGTTCTCCAGTCTCCTTGCTCCAGTGGCTACAGTGATGACATTGTCTAGACTGAATTTGTTCAGCTTCATACACACAAGTTGCGCTGAACATTGCTCTTCTAACCTTGTGGGATATGCCAACTAGGAAATGGAAGCCAAAGGGTCTCCAAAACCAGTTTTACCATTTTAAAACAGTCTGTTAACATTTTCAAGTCTATTCCTAGAGAATCTTGCTTTAATAAATAGATTAGTCAATTTGGAATAGTGACAAAGATATCAACTTCTTAGATGATTTGGGTCCAGATTTCTTGGCTACCACTGCTACTTTATGGGTCATGTGGCTCCTGAATCCTGTGCCCTCAGACATTTTTACTAACTCTTGGTGAACGTGACTGGCAAGTGGTGGCAGTATAACGAGGGCCCTGAAGCTTGTGTTTGTTAGTTTTTTCATCTGTATTAAAGTGGGAAAGTGAAAAGTTCAAATCTTTACAGATCCAGTAGGAACAGAAGCCAGAAGTTTTCCACCATGGAGCTCAACTGGAATGGTTTGTATTCGGATTGGCCTAGTAGTCTATATCTAGAATATTCTGAAGCAGTCAAAAATTGACTTTGTATCCCTGGTCAAGTTGCTGAAATGTAGCAATTGTGTCAGGAAGATCAGTTCCTTCAGTTCGAATTTTGTGTTTATTCCAGAAGTTTATCTTTTCCTTTCTGAGATGTCCCAACTTTGCTGAAGTTAGTTTACTCTCTCTAAACTTTTTTATCTTCAATTTTTGCTTTCCACAGATGATCTCTACCACGTAGTAGAGGCTTATTCTTGAGAAGTAATTTCTGAAGTCATCTTCTTCCTCCTTTTTCTTGTTCTGCTGTCTTTTTGGTTCAATTAGGTTCTTTTCTTTTTTCTCCTCATTCTGAAGGTCCTGATAAGTTCTTGATGTTATCCCATTGATCTGTGGGACTATCTTTATACCAGCACCATACTGCCTTAATAACAGTATCTTCACAGTAAATTTTGAAATTGGGAGGCAAGAATCCACTAACTCTGCTCTTCCTTTTCAAGATTTCTTTGGTTATTTTGGATTTCCTGGTAATAATAATTGTGTGTGTGTGTGTGTGTGTGTGTGTGTGTGTGTGTATATATATATATATATATATATATGTATGTATATGTATGTATATGTATATATATATGCCACCTGGGATTTTACTAAGGATAGCATTGAATCTGTAGATCACTTTTGGACGTATTGCTATATGGGCGATATGAAATTTTCCTATCTGTGAACCAGGTTTTTCCATTTATTTATAATATAACTTCTTTCAGCACTGTCTTATAGTCCTCAGTGTTGAACTTTTTTTTTTTGTTAAATTTAACAAGTATTTTATTCTTAATGTTATTACAAATGGATTTTTTTCTTAATTTGTTTTGGGGGAGTTTTTATTACTAGTATATAGATATCAGTTTATTTTTATGTATTGATCATACATCCTACAATATTGCTGAGCTCATTTATTAGATCTCACTGTTCTTTAATGCATTCCTTAGGATTTTCTATGGATAAATTCATGTCATCTGCAAATAGAGTTTTACTTCTTCCTTCTAATCTGGAACACTTTCATTTCTTTTTCTTGCTTAATTGTCCTGGTCAGACACCCAGTTTCATACTGGATAGAAGTGGCAAGTAGGGATATCCTTAGTCTTGTTCCTTTATCATGTTGAAGAAGTTCACTTGTATTTCTAGAATTTTGTGCATATTTATTATGAAATGTTGCTGGAGTTTGTCAAATGCTTTAGCTAGATCTGCGAAATGATCATGTGGCTAGTCATATGGTATTAATGTGGTATTGATTGATTTTTATGCTTGAATCACCCTTATATTTCCAGGACAAACCCAACTGTGTCATGGTGTATCAACCATTATAATTGTATGCCATCCATATACAGTGTGGGTGTCTACTTTATTGTGGTTTGAATGCTAACTACCAACTCTGCTTGTTAGAAAGCTCTGACCCTTCAGCCAATAGCTATGTTTGCACTACTTTCCTTCACTTGAATTGATATTTTTGTATCATTCAGTATGCATCTAATGCCTACTTCAGTTCTGACAAAGTGGTTGTTTTATAGAATGTTTACATCATACCTCACTATATATGACTTTCATCTGCGTAGAACAACTTCCTTCTGTGTCATTCTGCCCTGAACCACCCGAAAAACATTTGTATAACAAATGCCACTCCACTCTTAATAGGGTCACTGAAAAGTTTTCCAATTTCTTGGAACAATCATGCTAAATCTTCTATTTCCTCAGATATAATTCCAGCCTGAGAAACCTATCTACCCTCCAGCTGATGGGAAGTTATACAGAAATCAGGAACTATATCATGATGATCACAAAAATCCTGAGTCGTTGGACTAAGGAGAACAGAAATCTGTCCTGTGGTCAATGGTCACAAATACAGGATGCATTCATTTCTACAGTCTGCAGATTAGCTTTGCAGGTACGATAAGAGCCATGCTAGTTCAGCATCTATAAATCTGGACCAGAAAGGTTGGGCATCTGATTGGTTGGCTCACCAGCAAATGGTCATGTTTAGTAAAGAAATGAGACCAGGTGGGCTAGCCAGCTTGGCTCTGATGCATGGTGTGGCTGGCTGCTCTTGACTGCTCATGTTTCACTGGTATTGCTGCTGGTTTATAAAAGAGAGACTGATACAAGCCAATGACTACAGATCTCTCTGCTCATGTTTCTGGAAGTAAAAATTATGTAAATGCAATCTGATATTGTTCAGGTTATGATGATGTGCAACTTTTAAATAAATGACCATACATTCAAATGTCGTTGTTCACAGCACCTGGAATGCCTGTCTTGTAAATGTCATTACAGAACATCTGCCTCAAAGAGAATACATACTTCATTGCAATACTTTCTTCCTCTATCATTCTCTCTTACCCTTTTCCAAAGTTTCCCATTTCCTCTTCCCTCTTGTCAATTCCCTGATGTTGTGTGGGATGTGGCTGAATGTCTAATGGATGGCCAGAGCAGAGATGCAACACTAGTGATAAAAACTTGAGACTGAGGAGGGGATGGCCTTAATGAATGTTGTATCCCATTAGTCTCTTAGCTTAAAAACATGCAATCTATTCTCTGTCTATATGAACAAACCGAAGTATGCAGCTTTAAACTAGATAACTAACTTTCCCTATTTTTTTTTTCCTTTTTATTTGCTTGCATGTTTCTTCTGGCCAGGAAGAAATGATTGATTCTATTCTTATATTGAGGGAACTCATCCACTTTCCTAATAAGGTAAGTGCTATTTCTTTCTAAGTATATTTTCCTGCTTCTTTGTAGAATTACAGGGACCTTTATCAGTTCTTGAAGAATATACTTTGCAGTTACATTTCAACACTAAGATTAGAAATATGATTTTCTGGGTCTCCTTGGTGGCTCAAGGGGTTAAGCACCACACTATGAAGCAATCCACAGCCTCTGCAACATGAGTTTGATCCCTGGCCGGCCAGGGAGAAACCCAAATGGTGCAGCAGACCTCTCCTGACTCACTTGCTGCTCCCCTCAGCGTCAGTCTGCCTGTTCTGTGTTCTGTTCCCTGCTCTGTCTTTGGTGAATCCTCTCTCACAGAGCCCCGCCCCCCCATCTCTGGCCTGCGCTCCAGCTCTTGTATGCATAAATAAATAAATCTTTAAAAAAATATGATTTTCTGACAAGAATTTATTAGAACAGCATTGCCCATCTTAAATCACTGGTGAAGAACTTTTTCAGGATGATATTTGAAAACCTAAAGTGGAAACAGATTAAACCAAGCATTTATGCTGTGAATACTTTTGGTCAGGGAATTGTTCTTTACTGTTCATCCATAGCATTAGACTTCCCCATCTTCACCCCTTCTCTTTCTCAAGTCTCCAGCTGATGTTCTCATTCCTCTGTTCATGGGGAAATGAGAGGAGACCCCAGAGAGTCCCTCCCTATCATCCTCCCTGCTTTGCGCACCTTTATTCTCCTGCTCTAAGCTGAGCACATGTCATTTCTCTGTCTTCCCAGCCTCCTCTCTTGCTGTTGGACAATGCACACATAGCAGTCAAAGGTCATATTCAGATCCTTAATTGGTTAATGTCACTCAATTGCTTCCATGCCATGGAAGCAAATCCAGAACCTCACAGTGGCTTACATGATTTGCTCCTTCCTCTCTGTTTTCCTTCCCCTTCTATACCCCTTAGTTGTTCAGGCCCAGAGTCTGGCTAGTTGATCCTTCCCCAACCTCTGCATGGCCCTCGGCCCACTGGACAGCAGGGAGACTACATTCCATCAGTGCAATGCATCCCTTTTTCAGAGAAGTCTGTGATCCTCAATCTAAAGACAGTCTCTCCTCCTGTCACCTGGTTTATCCTCTTTCAGACTTTCACCATTACCTCCCTTCATCCTCTGTTGCCTCACTCCCTGCCCTCATTGGAACATAGATCCAGTGATGGCAGGGATCTTCCTTTCTTGTTCACCATATAGCTATCACTGTGACACTAACACAGCGCACATGGCAGCTGTGGAAGGAAGGTAGATGGGAAGGCAGGAAAGCAGGAACAAAGGGAGGGAAGGTGGAAGGGAAAGAGGAAAGAAGGGAGGAGGGAAGGAAGGGATAAAGGAAGGAAATAAGGATCGAAGAGAGACGGGGATGACAGGCACTCCCATTTTCCTTCCTGCCCAAGTCATGTCTGTTGGCATCCTCTTGAATTGCGTCACTGCAACAACCACAAGAAAGGGGCTGGCCTGTCCCATTTCTCTGCCAGAGCTATCTTCATATAAAAGACACCTGGTCATGTCACTTGTGGAATAGTTTTAACGCTTCCTTCCACTGACAAAACAGTATTTTTTAGTCCAGATAAGATTCATATACCACCTTCTCTGTGAACTGCTAAAAATTCTGAAGGCAGAGTTTATTTTATTCAGCACAAACCTGCACTTGACTTTGCTGTCGTACACTAAGACCTTTGGTTTGTAACTATTTTCTGTACATCTGCCTTACAACTTGAGACTAACCTCCTAAGATCTCAAACTATATTGGGTAAATGTTGCCGTAATACATAGTTCCTGAAATCCAAGTCTGTGCTCCATCCTCACCTGCAGGTGTTAAGCAGACAGCATTCTATGGGGATTCAGGGGCACCAACTCCTTTCATCCAGGCCCTCCAACATTACCCCTGTCTTTATAAGTTGGAGGACAGATCATGGAGAGCTGTATCCTTTGCTACTAATATGGCCTGGAAGTGCAATTTCTTACTGCAATCATGATGCCCTTGGAGAACCTGTTACAAGACCCCAGATGGACTCTTGGGTTCTGGGAATTGGAATTCTTTATTTTTTTTAAAGATTTATTTTATTTATTTATTATACAAGCACTGGGTACAGTCAGAAGCGTAGGAGGGTGAGAGAATTCACCAGAGCCAGAGCAGAGCAGGCAGGCAGAAGAACCGAAGTACACTGCTGAGGGGAGCAGAGCAGGCAGAAGAACCGAAGTACACTGCTGAGGGGAGCAGCGGGCAGCAGGAGAGGTCTGCGCACCATGTGGGACCCTCGTTCGGTGGCCGGAGAGCAGCCAGGGATCGAACTGGTGCTGCAGAGGCTGTGGACAGCTTCGCAACCCAGCACTCAACCGCTGCACCACCGGGGAGGCCCTGGGAATTGGAATTATTGATAACTTCCCACCAATGAACACACACAAGAATAAGGAAGATGAATTTGGTGAAAGCCAAGCATCTCTTTCCCCATGGTTATCACCTTAGAGTGGTAGATAAAACTAAACATTATTTTCATTTCAAAGTAACCACTTCTTATAGTTTTGGTTAAAAACATTGTACAAACCGCACTGTGTATGTGTGTGTGTTTTGTTTTTTTTTTTTAGCATGTGATTTTAAAAAGCCTGATATGCTCTTTAAAAAGCATTTGTTTCAGTTTAGATAAAAGATTATTCTTTCAATTTGAGTATCTTTTGACAATCTTACCTCTGTGTGAGGCCTCTACTAGTATTTCCAGACTGTTTAATTTTATTGATGGTGAAAGAGTTTGATTTTAGAAATAGTTATGCCATGTTTTGATTAAACAAGCATGACCATCAGAAAATAGAATCTTAATTTCATTTAGTTGGACAAGCATTTATTTAACAGCTGCTAGGAGCTGTTCAGGCAGAAGGAAAGAAAAGGCTATCTTATCTCTCAGGCACTGGTAGATGAAGGAAATGTGGAAACAGCTGTACTTCAGTAAATATGTTAAGTCCTATAATTAGGAGAATGACAATATTCTATGGGAACAGAGACAATGGTGCAACTCACTTTGGTGGATATTTGAAATCAGTTTTAAAAGATAAGGAGGGAAAAATCATGATTGATTCTGTTAGATGTGATATTAGCATTGTGGGCATGTATTTAGAAAAAATTTCTTATCTGTCATCAATATATACTTAAAATACTCATAGAAATGATGCTTGACTTTTACTTTTAAATATTTTTTAGGGATATGCTGGTATCGATCAATCAGGCCTTGCAGTTTTTTTTAGAATTAAGCCTTCAGGAAGGCCTGAAGTAAAATAAATAAATAAATAAATAAAGACAACAAACAAATAAGTAACTAAATTTTAGTAGTTGATTGGGGAATAGAAAAACTATTGCCAATGAATTCTGATCACAACAGTGGGCTGATGGGTATGCTATGCTACTATACTATTCTCTCTGTTTTTGAAAATGAGCCATACTAAGAATTTAGAAAAAGATTGAAGTAGGACTTTTTAGCAAAGACAGGATAAAGACATTGCAGGGAAGGTACTTTATATGGATCAGGGAAAGGCCTCAATTGTTTTGGAGCTGTAAGGAGGTTTGTGTGGCTGAGAGCAGAATGTACATGGGCAAAGGAAGGAGAGAAGGCTACAGACAGCAGTGAAGGGAATTGTGAAATGGTTGTTGGTGTTCAAAATAAGTAGTACCTTAGCATAAAGGGCTGTTAGAGAGCATTTATTTTTCTTTGGCTCATTTTACATGTCAGGAAACTAAATATCAAGTGAGCAAATTATTACCTGTGAAGCTGGCCAATAGTCAGTCAGTGTCCAAAGCCAGACTTGAATCCACATCACTCATCCGCTTCCTGAGCAGTATTGTTAATTTCTAGATACTATGAAAAAGGCAAGAGTATCTACATTTTTATTCATGAAATATTTCATTTACTTGATTTTTTACATGTAGTTAAGCTTTAGGAGCGCAGTCCTCATCCTCAAACACTCCCAGACACTGCTAGAGAGAAGCTGGCCTTTGGGAAGGTTTGTGGTGGATAAAAGATGGGTGAGTGAGCTCATCCTCCTTGTAACCGGGGTACTAGAAGTCTCTGACCAAGAGAAATCAAGGAACGCAGACTACCTAAGGGAAGAAGGAACTAAAGTCATCTTGGACTTACTGGTAGTAAGTTGTCCTTTTTTCTCCATTAGTAATAACACAGTTATTCCCCTTGCCCAGAATGTCACATCTATTTGTAATTGTGTTTCAAAACCAAAAATTTAATTTTTCTTAAAGTACTGTATTAATTATTCCGACTGGTGGTTTGGTTTCTGGAAATTTTTGGTTTGAATTTTAAGTATTTCATGGGCATAATGTAACATAAAGTTGGGACTTTGCTTCTGTTCCATCCTTTTATATTATGGTAGATTTTCATTTGGGATGTCTGGGATATTTTTTGACTCAGAAATATCATTTTTCGGGGCATCTAATGTTTATTGAGGAATGAAGTGGAATAATGCCAATGGTTTTTATAAAAAGCATTATAAAAAGCAATCCTGATGATATAGAACTGCTAACAAAATATTAAGTTTATATCATTTATTTCTGCTGCAGCAACTATGGGAAATTTTCTAAAATTTTTCTTTTTCCACCTTATGAGATGACCAGTGCTTCCAAGAAGTAATAAATATAGGCTTTGTCTTCTTTGTCCTACCCATTATCTGCCTTTCCATCTAGACCTGATGGTTCATTGAACTATGATATTCGGGAAGCTAGAAAATAAATAAATGTTCTGTATGAATCCAATAATAGCAATCATAACTTGGCATTTAGTACATCTAGAAACTGCTGCACATGTAATACCCACCCTGAACTAATCCCTAAGGCACTGTCAAGTCCACATGTTATTAAAATATACATGGCATTCCAGCTCTCTTTGGATGGAGGAGCAAATCTCAAGAAGCATAGCAATTATCACAAAATGAGTAATGTGTCACAAAAGCTGTGTCAAGATGAAAGAACACAGTTTGTGTCTTACTATTATTTGACATTCATATCTTTCTATCAAAATCTTTGCTCAGGCAAATGAATCCAAATTCATTTGCAACTGGCTAGTTTTTCAATTATTCCCACCTCTTCCCTTGTTCTGGATTCCAGACAACTGTCCCACCTGCACTGTGACATTTGACAGCTCATGCTCCATTTCAGGGCTACCTCTGTTTGAAAAAGGAGCCTGGACTGCACGTCAGCACTGGGCTGATGGAGGTCTGTGCACAACTTCATTGTGACTTTCAGAGGTCTGTGCAGAGTGTGGGCTCCGTCCAGGTGCATTTACCTGCACACATGGCTGGGCAGACTCCTGCTGGGGCAGAAACGCAGAGCCTATGCTATGCCAGCCAGCTCATGATCTTCAAGAAGAATCCATATCCGGGGAGAGCAGCACCTGGTCAGGTACAGCTTGACAGGCAATCCATCCCCTCTAGTGACCACCTCAACTGTGCACATATTGGATTTGATGATTAAAAAAAAGGTGTTGGGGGTGCAAGCTTACACTTGCAACTCAATTGTAAGAGAGCAACAACTTAGAACTATTCTCTAATTATCTTGGAAGAGAGCATCAGCAAAACTGAGTATCCTAGTATCTGATAAGTTGACCGCTTCCTATTTCCTATAGTGTTTTAATCCATTGTCAGAGAGTCAGGGGCATGACTAGATTAGAGTACGTGGCACAGACCGCATGTAGCTGGTGCCAGCACCTGGTAATTCTGTGAATATCTGCTTCACCTTCTCCAATTGGAAACCACCTGCAGGATCCCTGGAGCACCAGAGCTGTGGCAGAGAACACTGCTCTCTGCATGTTCTCTCCCTCAGCCCTGCTCTGGAGCTCTCGGCACCCAATTAGTGTCTGATGAACAAATGTACAAATTCAAGATGCACAACTTACTTTGGTCCAAAAAATGCTCAAAAAAGCAGTCATTTTTAGGGAAATAGAAATTACTTCAGTAGACGAAAATAATTCCATCTAATAAGCAATAAAGAAACATAAATTAAATTGTTTTTTGAAATTTAAGAAGTGCTAGTCTTTAAAAGATTTAATGCTGTGACTGTCTAGTGTGGGAGGCAGCCTGGTGTGGACTTTTACTGAGAAGTTCTTTGTCGCAGACATGAAGAGCTTCAAACCCCAGTGTTACACTATAGGAACTGACAGTGAAGAAACAAGAAAGATGTATTCATTCATTCATTCATTCACTCATTCATTCAATGCAACATTTACAAATACCCAAATAGAATGGACCTAAATGTTCATCAGAGGGTTATAGTCCACTGCTTATTAAAAAAAAAAAAAAACCTGATAATCTATACATAGTCTATTAAAATGATGTCAATCAAGGAATTTTAGTGACTTTGGGAAGTTTCATGCAAAAAACATAGAATATAAATTGTCTTTCCAGTGCATTGAAAATATTTCAAACCTGAAATATTTCCCCAAATATGATTTCTCTGACTACATGGTATTACACTGAGCGGATATATTTCTTTTGTATAGGTTTTTAAAGTAAGAAATAAAGAATTTTTAAAAACTTAATTTTTTTTCCACTTGAATAAGAATAATACAAAAAGCACTACACTCCCCCCAAATCCTGCCCTTCTGACCAGTAAGATGTGCTGATAGTCTGTGTTACCCTGCACCACCTAGCTCATGATTGTGTGTAACTGCGGTAGGAGCATCACTGGGCCTTGGTCTCCTGCTTCTCTCACTAAGTCACCTGCTCTGCTGGTCTCTTTGTCTCCTAAGGTTGGCCCAGTGGTGGCCCTCTCCCTGCACAACTGCTCCAGCAGGAGGCCCATCAGCAGCTGGCGGCTGAGGGAGCCCATAATGGTGGAGTTTGGGGAGGAGGACAGCCCGGTAAGGACAGGCTTCCAGGTTATCGCGCCTCATTTGGGTGTCTGTGCCAGTTTTCACACATTGACTTTTCCAGAAGCAAATCTTGCTTAACTTGTTCTCCATTTAATGACAGGATAATGGGAGAAATAAAATGACATTTGTGTTGCTTCGGGATAAAGTGAATTTTCATCAGTTCACTGGGCATTGTGAAAATCCCCTGGAATCTCTACATATAAGGATAGAATTTTCTAAGCCCATTGCAAAAGCTTTCCCGGTCTTGTTGCTGGTAAGGTATGTTGTGGGGTGGAGGCTACAATGGAAGGAGGCTGAAATAAGGGCTGTCACTCCTGAAAATTAGTGAGTAAAGCTGAGTATTTAATGCAGTCATGAGGCTCATTGTCTAATGAAATTATGTTATACAGTCTATTTTTCAGGGAATAAACTTCCCTACTTTGTTTTTTTGAGATTGAATTCCTGCCTATTAAGTTGATTGGAGTGAGCAATAGCTAAAGTGTCAGGAGTGATACAGCTGTATTCATTTAGGAATCTAATTCTCTTTCACAGTGTAGATCTGGGCCAAGACTGCTTTTCAAATTTTTTTCAATGGAAAAAAAATGTGTAAACAATTATCTGAGGAGACTGATAAATGCATCTTTCTCAGTAATACGATTTTGCAAGATTTGGGTCAGCCCCATTTTATGACTTAATTACATAGAAAGGCTAACTAAATGAATATTGAAAGGATTCTTTGGCATCATACTTTAACAATGTCCATCTGACTAAGATTTTGATCATTCCACTGCTTTGGTCTAGGTGGCATCTATGCTGGGTGTCTCTCATGTCAGGTGAGAGCCACACAATGTGTACCCTTTGGTCATTCCACCATCTGAACATAAATGTTTGAAACATGTCTATTTGATTAAAAACCTTGGATTTTAATTTATTTAAGTCACACACCAAACAGTAAATTGGGTCTGAACAGTTTCTGAGTTTAGCTACCTTCCTTCATCTGCCTGTTCCCACAACTCACCACTATCACAGACTGCTCTAGGGCCCACCCCGGCCACTCAGAGCTGATTATTTTAATAAAATGAGGATTGAATGTGTCATGTAGGAGTTCTTGCTGGAAGATCTCTGATGCTATGGATAAAGCAGAGCAGCCCCTTCTATTTTTAATTTTTTTTTAAATTGAGGTAATGTTGGCTTACAACGTTGTGTGGTTTAGTGGTACAGGTTCACACCTCTTCAGATGTGTGTTATCAGACAACCCCCACCACCAAGGCACAAATAACCCTCCACCACTGTCCATTGCACAGTGGCCCCTTTTAGAGCCAACTGGCCTCTCAGGAGTGAAAATATTTGCACAAAACTGTAAAATTAAAATCTCTGAGGGGAAAAAAATATCAACCTATATATCACTAGTGTGTTTTTATCTCCTAGATTCTCTGAGAAACCTACGCCTTCTAATTTTCTTGTGAAACAGATCTACTTTTGGGATGAGAACATTGTACATATTTATCTACCTGCTCTTTCACAGAAAGGTCAGTGCATGTGAGCTCTTCGGATTTTCAGGTCTGTTTTTGTGTAATGGGAACTTCAACTGTAAGATTTGATTGCCTAGCAGTGCTTTCTCTTATCCATGACAAAAAACATCTGGCTGTTTCAGAGTCAGCGGACTCTGGGGCACTCTGCCTCTGGTTACACAGTGGTAGGGGGTGCGTCACTGTCAGGCCCTCCCATGTCTCCTTGCTCCGAATCTGTTCCCCAAGGTTCCTCCCTGCCTTTGTTCCCCTGTCATCTTAGCCTGTGGGACACCCCCCCACACACACCCCAGCCATTCTGGTCTCCAGAGCCACATGTTGCCACCTTCTGTGGCCTTCCCTCACCCACAGGAATTTCCCAGGCTGCTGCTCTTACAGCACCTTAGGTTTATCTGTCCTGTTTGCTACATTTGCTGCAGTTGGAGGCTGTGACACTCTCCCTGCTACTCACAGGACCCATCAGTCCTCACCTCCTCATGGGCAGCCTTGACTGCAGAGGTCCTGATTCTCTGTCCTCCCCAAAGCCAAGAAATTGGGGCTGAGAGTGGGCAAGGGACCCACACCACACTGTACACTCTGTGTGCTCACGGGTGCATGTGTGAGTGGGAGGGGAGTTATGAGGGGAGGGTGAATCATTAGAGAGAAAGTTTCAGACATCCTGACACTCAAGCCCTAAATATCTAACTCCATCTCATAAAAATGAGCACACAATCCTACACAACTTAGTAACACACCTGGGACTAAATAGTCAGTGTCACCTCAGAATGTCACCTGCTCTCAGACCACAGTTGCAGGCTAGTGATAATCCTCAATGCCTTCTAGAGCTTCTGATAGTTGTCATTCAGGATTAAGTCAAAGTTCACATATGCATTTTATTGTCACATTTTTGTGGTCCTTTTAAAACTAGTACATTTTTTGCCTTTTTATTTTCATGACATTGAGGTATTTAATGAGTCCAAGTAGTGATTTTTTTAGTGTGCCACATTCTGAGCTTGCATGATTGATTCCTCGTGACTGGACTTAGTACCCAGGTGCTTGTGAAGCTGGTGTGTGCTATTAATTTAGCCTTTGAACCACCAGGGCTCTTATCCCACAAAGTCTTAAAAAGGAATTCGCAGATGTTTTAGATAAGTAAGCAGAGAGAAGCAAACTTTATTCAGGAAAGTAAAGAACAATTTATTTAAAGGAAGAAAGCAAGGACTTCTAGGTGTGCTGTACCTGGGAGGGGCAAAGAAGCTGTTATTTGTCCATTTCTGGGGAATATTAAAACTTTTCTCTATTCTAAAATGTTATCATTCTACTTTGTGATTGTTTTTTTTTAGTGGCCATACTCTTCCAGACAGATTTGCCCATTTTTCCAGCTCTTATCTTAGAGTTTCTCCTTTTACCTTAAGGTCTTATTTTCTCAGGGGTTACTATCCTTGCTTTTTTAGTTCTCCTGAACTTTCTGACCTCATTTCTGGAGTCTGTTTTCTTTAGCACCTCTTAGGATTTACTGTCCTCATTAGCTTTAAAATTTAGCCTGAACGTTTACTGTCCTCATTAGCCCTTCTGGATTTCTCTGCCCTTATCTTCGAAGGGCAAAAGCCTTTGTCTTTTCCATAGTCCCTGCTGGCACTGTTCCTGAACCTGCCTACTTAGCCCTAACTTGCCCTGGGACTCACTTGAAGGATACTCCATCAGCCAGGCTAAGTGTGGCAAATGGGTCAGCCAATCTCTCCATTTTAATGGAATGTTCTCCCTTTGTAGTATTTGGGTAATACTTGTGAACCCAGTGAGCATTGCCCTCCCCGTGAACTTTCACCCCATCACTGATGCATAGCAGGCTGCAATGGTGGTTTTCTAGCCCCACCAGTTAGCTGGCATTCTTCAGTAAAGACCAGCCTGTCTCACTCTTTCTCAGTCTTGCTGCTTTGTACACGATATATGCTATCTCTGTTGATGCAGATTCTGTTTTTTAAAGAAATGTATTTGGTAGATTTCATCTTTATCTTTTTGGTGCTCAAGTTGTTCCATTGGGAGTTCTTTCAATAAGGTTTCTGATGTCAGGAGTCTGGTGCATCTGATGTTTCCTGGAAGATCAGGGTACCCAGGCAAGTGTGCACACTGCCTGCCCTTTCTTAGAAGTTGGCATTTCTTTATGAGCCTGGATTCTTGGTGGGGAATGAGACTTAATAAACAAGATATGAAACCAAGTGTGCTCAGTGCTATTGGGGTGATCTTTGTCACTGAGTCAGTTGAGTGTATCTTGTATGTGTGTGTGTTGTATATGTGCATGTGTAGATGTATATGTTTATGTGGTGTGTGTATGTTTGCATGTGGTGTGTGTATGTGCAAAGTGTGTGTAAACCATGAATATATCCATTTTCTATTGTTTGTTTTTTCTTGATTTTTAACACATTAAGGCAGTTTGTCACTTTCCTGCAATATAAGTTGCGAGTTTTATTTTATTTTTATCTTTCTGGTTTCAGCTTTTTTAAAAAAAAAAAGATTTATTTATTTAAGCATACAAGAATTGAGGTACAGGTCAGAGGTGTGGTGGGTGAGAGGAGTCACCAGAAACAGAGTGGGGAACAGAACAGGCAGATTGACCAAAGTACACTGCTGAGGGGAGCAGCGGGCGAGTCAAAAGAGATCTGCTGCTCCATGTGGGTTTCTCCCTGGCCGGCGGGGGAGGCTGCAGACAGCTTCATAGTTTGCGCCATCAGGTCCACAATTTTTATTTTTATAGTTCATCATGTGTCATTAAATTAGAAATTATCATTTTAACTTTATTACTGGGTTATTTTGCTTTGCAGATTTTTTTTATTAGTAAAGTTTTCAACTTCTTTTTATTTATTCTTAGATCTTGAGGGTTAGAAATTCACTGCTTACATGCATCGTGTTGTAAGTCCTTTATATCTATTTGCTTTTAGTACTTTTGCAATTTGACATGTTCATATGTAGATCTTTGATAATGGTGTTTATTATTATATATGTCATGAGATATGGATCTAATTTCATATATAACAAATACTAATGTCTAGTTGTTCCAATACCAATTATTAAAAAAATCCTAGAGGCAAATTTTAAATAAATGAAATATTAAATATTTTTGCATCTGAGTATAAAAATTTTTCCCAGAAACAACAGTCTAAAACCACATGGTCATTGTGCTATCTTCCCAGGATGGCTGTAGGCTTAGGGCATACTAATGTTTGACAAGTTGAGGAATGAAGCCAAAGAGAAGGAGGGAAGTTCTTTGGGTGGGACTGGGGAAGCTGTAGGGTCACAAAATAGTGTGTACAGGGTGTCCAGAGGGAGTTAGAACTTAAGGAAGATTTCCTACACTCTGAGGGAAATTAGCAGCTGTAGCTCTGCCTGGGCCTATTTAATTCATGACTCATCTGCTCCAAGAGAGAAAATGGTTCATTCCCTCCCTGCCTAGCTCCTGGCCTTGTCCACACTCTCTGCAACTGTCTCTCTGTATTCAGAAAGGGTGATGATTTTCTGCAGACTTCAGATTGTGTTTCTTAAGTTACTTTTTCTCTTTTCAGATGCCAACTTGGGATATTTATCTTTACTTGATGCTGACTATAACAGGAATCCTGTGAACAAATATTTTGCTAAAGCAGTGAACTATACGGTACATTTCCAGTGGATCCAATGCCTGTTTTGGGATATGAAGGAGTGGAAATCTGGAAGATTCTCTCCACAACCAGGAACTGTCCCAGAAAAAGTGAACTGCAGGTATAGATAGACTTAAGTTTGAGAAAGAATTTAAGATTTTTTTTTTAAGTGACTGCATTTTCTATTTGGTGTAATACCTAGAGCCTCACTAGCCTTGCCACCCTATAAAATCTTAAGGGGTCTCAGTTTTGGGACTCCATGAACTCATGCCTCTTATACTATTCTATCTGTAAGACTGGTCTCCTGACTGTTTCCTCCTGTGGAGATCAGGGTCTGGTTATTCAGTCTTCTTTATACCTACCCCTCTCCAAGGTGACTGGCATGTAGTAGGTGTTCAGCAAATACCTGTTTAACAAGATTCCTCGATGAATGATCCAATCTGGTGAATATGGGGTCCATGGTTGTAGCTGTCCTGACATTCTCTGGGGTATACCTAATCAAGCAGAGGCCCATGCTCTCACTTTCCCTGTTACCTGTTACCCCACTTCCTGGTCTCCCTCACAGCCTGGTTGTAAAGTGAATTTCATGACACAATGAAATTTTCCGTACAGATAGTTGGCAAATTTCTTGAGAATATTGCAATTTACCTGTTGTGTCATTAAATTAGAAATTATCATCTAGCTGAAATGCTGATGTTGTCGCTACCTTTACATTAGAATACAGAACAAATGATTATTAGCTATATATAGTTATTGAAACTATTCCTTAATAAAAATTGTTATATAACACTGTACTCTGTGGTTGCCTGTTTGGAGGCAAATATGTCCAGATCATATTGGTGTAATCCATAAATCATTTAATGCTTTTATTAGGAATTTATAGGATGCCACTATTAAAACCACATTTGAATTTAGTGGTAATGGTTTGATATTTTGATTTGTTATTAAATTATTTATTGGTGCATCAAACCAATCAGTCTTTCTCTGTTACACCCTACTCTCTGCTATGTTTTTTTAGATGCTAGGGTTACAAAAATGAATATAAAATGAGATCTGATCATAAAAAAATAAGAGAAAGGAAGAATTTATTAAAATAAAAACAGCAGTCTTCATAGTGGTTGTCGGGGCAGAAATGGCCAAAGGCAGGATTCTGGTAATGTCAAGACAAGCTTTTCAGGGGCACATTTTTGGCTGGTAGCTGAGTCATTGTTGTGTAGTAGGCTGTGATTGATTTGAACCTGAGAATCTCCTGCAATGAGCTGGACTGTGGAGGAAATCACAGAGATATCTAATACACTCCCAGGTCCACTGTGAGGACAGCCAATGTCACAGGCAGCCTCGGAGACACAGATGTGAGGGCGTCTAATGTTTGGCCAGAACAGAGGCCCTCATTGGAACTTAAGTTTTTTGCTGAATACTTTAAACTTGATCTGAATCATAGAGTTGTAATATTGGAGCTTGTCATCCTTTTCATACTTCCCTCACCCAGTGAGCCATCACCCTGTAAACAACTGTTCTCCCCATACATTCTGCATCCTAATCAGCATCTTCCTCCCAGCTATGATCACCTCGCCACATTTGCTATTGGAAGGAGAAAGTTGAATACCAGTTTTGAAATGAGTGACATTTCCAAGTTCCAGAGGTAAGCTCTGTTTTCTAAATCAAGAAAAATTTTTATTTATATGACTGCCTGCTCAGGATGCCCACTATATAATTAATTAGATTCTTGAAATGTGTGTTATTGTCATTCCTTGCTGAAAGATGCATATTAATAGATTATTGTCTTTTATTATTATTTAGTTACCTTGTATTTGCCTATACTTTCATTCACTGATGGGAGATTTACAAATATGAGAAAGTCAATATACTTGTGCTGCTTTTAAGTACACCACTAGTGTGAATGGCACAGTTATTTTCAACTGGGTTAGTGTCTACAGTGGCAATACTGCCAATTTGCCTGTCCTGGTTTATGTTTATTTTCCCCTTTCTCTTCAAAAATATTTCGTTTTAGGTAACAAATTTAAAATTCACCTTATTTTATAGGGCCTCACTGGTGGCGCAGCGGTTGAGCACTGGGTTGCGGAGCTGCCCGCAGCCTCTGCAGCACCAGTTCGATCCCCAGCTGCTCCCAGGCCACCGGAGGAGGGTCCCACATGGCGCGCAGACCTCTCCTGCCACCCGCTGCTCCCCTCAGCAGTGTACTTTGGTCTTTCTGGCTGCTCTGCTCCCCGCTCTGGCTCTGGTGAATTCTCTCACCCTCCCGCGCTTCTGACTGTACCCAGTGCTTGTATAAATAAATAAATAAATCTTAAAAAAATAAATAAATAAAATTCACCTTATTTTATAGCCATTGTTTTATATAGAACATTAGATTTTGAAGTATGAGTAAGTACAGGCATACCTTGGTTGATTGCACTTCACTTTATGTGCTTTGCTTTATTGCATTTTTTTATTTTTACAAATTGAAGCTTTGTCACAAACTGTTATACAAGCCTATCAACACAATTACAGGGTGTGTTCACTTCCTGTCTCTCTGTCGTATTTTGGTAATTATTGAAATATTTCTAACTTTTTTCATTACTGTTTTTGTCATTTCTCTTAGTTTGTTGTTGTTTTATAGTTCTTAACATATATTTCATCAATATCCTAAGCTTATTCGTTATTGTTATATCTGTATGGTGATCTGTGATCAGTGATCTTTGATGATACTAATGTCATTGTTCTGGGGTGCCACAGCCCGTGCCCATGTGACAGCTAACTTAGTAAATGTTGCGTGTTCTGTCATTGACTGGCTGTTCCCCCATCTCTCTCCCTCTCGTAGGCCTCTCTATATCTTGAGACACAACACTATTGAAACTAGGTCAATTAAAAATAATCCTACAATTGTCTCTAAGTCCTCAACTAAAAAGAGGGTTTTGGGTCTCTTACTTTAGATGAAAAGCTAGATGTGATTAAGTTCTGTGAGGAACACATGCTGAAAGCTGAGATAGGCTGTGCTAGTTAGCCAAGTCGTGAATGCAAAGGAAAATAAAAGTGTTACTCCAGTGAACACACGTAAGATAAGAAATCAAAATAGTCAGTGCTGATAGAAAATTTTAGTGGTTTGAATAGGCCATCAAATCAGCTACAACATTCCCTTAAGCCTAGGCTGAATCCAGAGCAAGTTCCTAACTCTTTAATTCTGTGAAGCTGAAAGAACTGAGAAAGCTGCAGAAGAAAAATTTGAAACTAGCAAAGTTTAGTTCACAAGGTTTAAGGAATAAAGCAGAATCCATAACATAAAAGTGCAAGGGGAAGCAGCAAATGCTGATATAAAAGTTTCAGCAAGTTGGGGCCTCCCTGATGACACAAGGGGTTAAGACACATCACTGTGAAGCTACCCGCAGCCACTGCAACACAAGTCTGATCCCCGGCTGACCAGGGAGAAAACCACATGGGGCAGTAGACCTCTCCTGACTTGCCTGCTGTTCCCCTCAGCAGTGTATTTCAGTCAATCTGCTTGTTCTGTTCCTCACTCTGTCTCTGGTGAATCCTCTCATCCCCACACCTCTGACCTGTACCCCAGTTCTTGTATGCATAAATAAATAAATCTTAAAAAAATAAAAAGTTTCAGCAAGTTATCTAGAATGTAGCTAAGATAATTGGTAAAGGTGGCTACACTAAATATATTTTCTGTAGACAAGACCACCTTATTTTGAAGATGTCATCTAAGACTTTCATAACTAGAAAGAAGTCAATGCCTGGCTTCAAAGCTCCAAAAGACAAATTGACTCTCTTCTTATGGGCTAATACAGCTGGTAATTTAAAGTTGAAGCCACTAGTCACATTAACCCTGTTCTGTGTATGTTTATTAATGGAATAACAAAAGCTGACTGATAGCACAGCTGTTTATAACATGGTTTGCTGAACATTTTAAGTTCACTGTTGAGACCTACTACTCAGAAAAAAAGACTCCTTTCAAAATATTACTGTAATAATGCTGGCGAGCAGCTTTTAGCAATATAATTTTTTAATTAATAAATATATTTAGACATGCTGCTAGTAATTTTGCTACTTACAAAATATTACAATAAAATATTGTTGTTCATTGACATGACATGGTGGAGACATACCAGGTGATGAATATTTTCATGTCTGGCAATATAACATCCATTCTGCAGCCCAGGGATCAAGGTGTAATTTTGATTTTCAAGTCTTATTATTTAAGAAATATATTTTGAAAAAAAAAAAAGAAATATATTTTGTAAGGCTATAGATGACATAGATAGCAATTCCTCTGATGGACCTGGGTAAAGGAAATTGAAACCCTTTAGGGAATGATTCACCATTCTAGATGCCTTTAAAAGTATTCATGTTACATGAGAAGTCAAAATACCAGTATTAACAAGAGGTTGGAAGAAGTTGATTCTAACCCTCATGACTAACTTTGAGGGCTTCAAGACTTCTGATATGGTAGAAATAACAAGAGAAATAGAATTACAGGTGGAACTTGAAAAGGTGGCTGAATTGTTGTAATCTTGTGATAAAAGTTGAACAGATGAGGAGTTGCTTCTTTTAGATGAGCCAAGAAGATGGTTTTTTGAGATGGAAATGCACTCCTTGGGAAGATGGTCTGAGCACTGTTGAAATGACAACAATAACCTTTGCTGATAAAGTAGCATCAGGGTTTTAGAGAATTGACTCCAGTTTTGAGAAAAGGTCTACTGCGGATAAAATGCTTTTACACAGTATGGCACTGATGCAGAAAACGTCACTGTTGTCTTATTTTAACTAACTGCTGTACTCACTCCAACCTTCAGCAACCATCACCCTGATCAGTCAGGAACCCTTAGAATCTGTGCAAGATCCTCCACCAGTGAATTTATTATGACTTGCTGAAGGCTCACATGATGGAGAGCAGTTTTTAGCAATACAGTTTTATTTTTAATTAGGAAATATATTTTTATATATTTAGACATGATGCCATTGCCCACTTGCTAGGCTACAGTATCGAGTAAACATAATTTTTTATGCATTGGGAAGGCTAAACATTTTTTGCGGCTTGCTATTTTGTGGTGGCCTACAATGGAACCCACACTCCCCAGTGTGTAGTGGTGAGTGCACACACTGGAACCTGCACTTCTTCATCATAGCCCCACACTTAGTGCCAGGCTGGGTCGTGCCAGGCCGGGCCATCCCAGGTGCTGACCCATCACAGATATGGGTAAATGTTTGCTGGATAAATATTGATTGCAGAGGCTATATTTTCTGCTGTGCTAGGAAATTCTACCTTATTTAATCAGTCATTCAGCAGTTGGTGACTTTGTAGATTAGTGAGTGGATCAGAAAGTTAGTGATAGATGTTAGTTATTGGTGCTGCCGATGCTGGTCCCAAGGAAGTGGCAGCCATGAGGGATGACCAGGCAAAGGACACCTGAGGTCACATGTGTGGGGGGCAGTCTGGAAGGACAGCATCCCTGCAGCACAGGCTCCTTTGAAGCCCAAGAGAGGCTCATAAACCTGAGGCAAGGCAGGCCTCATCAGGTGAGGGTGCTATCATGAGTGACCTGATGTGGACTCCACCCTGTGAGTCTGGAGGGTTCAGTGATCCCCCCACAGTTAGCATGGGTGCCTGGAAATTGGAGATGAGCAAGATGCAGGGGAGAGGCACCATCCTTCCTCGGAACCCCCTACACGGGAGTGGGAAGAGTGGAGCTGGCAGAACATCTCCCGCCTCATTCTGCTGGGAAGGAGAGAGCTTTCATCACATCCATAGGCTGAAGCTCTTCACAGCAAGCTTGGGACTTTTGTCCAAATTTCATAAAGAAAATCCCTCAGACAAAGGCCACGAGTCCCCAGTCGGTCACAACTTTCAGATGCAAAGTTGATTCCTCACAGGGTTTTTGTATGGAGTCTGTGCTCATGGGGTTCTTTTTGCTGGACTGAGTGGGATAGCTCCATGTCTCAGGGATCCACTTGGTTCTGCTCCTTGCATCTGCTCCCTTAAGAATGGTCTGAAACCAGTTCTAATCACCAGAGTTCGCCCCACTTGCTCCACCTTTCCCTTCTCTACCATCTTCTCCATAAAAATCTATTTTTTTTCTTTTTGTTGTTTATCTTTTTTATTATTTTTTAAAGATTTATTTATTCATTTTACACAAGAACCAGGGTACAGGCCAGATGCGCCGGAGGGTGAGAGAATTCACCAGAGACAGAGTGGGGAAAAGAACAGGCAGACTGATGAAACACTGCAAAGGGAGCAGCAGGCGAAACAGGAAAGGTCTGCCGCGCCATGTGAGACCCTCGCCAGCTGGCAGGGATCGAACCAGTGCTGCAGAGGCTGTGGTTAGCTTCACAGCATGGCGTTCAACCACCTGCACCACGAGGGGAAGCCCTATCTTTCGTTTTTCAAAAAATCTATTTTTTTTTTTGGCCAGTTACAAAACAAGTGATTAAAAATAAGTCATGTAGACTAGCAGGCCTGTGCATGTGGGTGTCTGTGAGTGTGCACCTGTGTGTGTTTCCCATGTGTATTTCCCATGTGTGTGCACACCCACTAGTTCTCCCCAATGTGCAGGGAACTGCTTGCCTAAATGTTTCTTTTTGTGAGCAATTAATTTTACTCTTTTTATTTACAGGCACCCAGAAAATCTGCTTCCTGGAATTTTTGTGGTGGTTCTGGTAATTCTTTATGCACTTTTTGTGACTAAAAGCAGATGTGTAGATCGTCGAGAAAAAAAGAAAACTGGTTACATTTTTCTGCAAGAAAACACTCCACCTAGCCACCAGCTGTATGCAGTGGTAGTTGACACGGGCTTCCGGGCTCCCTCCCGCTTTAGTGCAAAGGTAACTGACATCCAGGGCCCTGTGTTGTCTGCAGGGGTGAAAGTGTGCGAGTGGTACACCAGAAATGCACACTGTCATGGTGTGGCCATCTTCTTTGTCAACGTCACTTGTCATAGAGAGTGAGCTCTCTGTCCCTTCCACTGGGCCCTCAGTGTGTATCTGTAGAGGAGAAAGCAGGGACCCTCCCCTTCCTCAGGTTCCAGACCCCTTCTTCTGTCCTACCTTCACTATGGAAAATAATCACAAAGATGGATTGTCTCTGAGCAGAGCATGGAGAGTGTGAGACCAGCTGTTCTCCTCTGGTCCAAAATTCGTTATAATGAATTTACCATTCATCACCCAGAGGTAGAAAGGGGTGAGAGCTATTCAGATTAGCTTTGGGGACAGGCTGGTTGAGAATTTGGGGCTATAGACAATTTTCCCAGAGGAACTAAAGGAGGACGATGTGGAGGGGAGGGACTTGGTGTGCGATGCAGCCTGGGAGGTTGAGGAGGTGGTCTAGTCCATGGGCCACATGGATGCCATGTGCCACGCCTGGGCTACAGGCAGAATCCAGAGTGTCAGAGCCTTCTGGGTGAGTGGAGGTGTGTGCCTGCACAAACCCCACAAGAGGGTGGGTTCCCTCTGTAGCCAGAACTCACCTCCAATTTCTTAAGGGAGCCATAGTTAAAAAGAATATAGGGGCATGCAGAAGCAGGATGAAGAAGGATAGAAAGAAGAACGAGGAGGCCATGCACTGGCATGGTGGGAAAGATGGGTGCATGGCATGTTTTCAGTTATGTGAACCTCACTCACTGTAAAGCCTTACTGTCCAACTATTCATGTAGCCTGTCAGATAGCCATGTGTACTCACAGCAGTGCATGTCAAGTATCAAAGGACACCTTCCTGCAGCAACCAATGCATTTAATGGTGAAACTTTATGAAGTGGTTAAGGGATGTCTGCTCCCATCACTACTGTGATGTTCTTCATCATAGCCACAAAATGGTGATGTTCCTCGAGGGAAAAATCACCAAACATACCTTTGAGGAAGAAATTTGTCCCAGACACTGAAAAGACTATGCTTACTTATTGATGAAAAAACTAATTTTCCTTATCATTTCTCCCAACTTAATCAATGATGATGATGATGATGATGATGATGATGATGATGATAGAAGCTAGCCAACATGAATCAGGGCTTTTATTCTATGCCCAATTTTTTTTCTCCCTAATGAAAATTATGGGGTCTCCTCCAAGGAAACAGGGAGGGGCTGGACACAGGTTGGGGGTGGACATGCCCTCTGTCCTTTGGGTCCATGCTGTGGCACTTGGTCTTTCAGGGTGGTTTTGTGGCAGGATGGGAACTGGGAAAAGAGGCAAAGAAGCCACCACTTCAGCACGAGTGTCATGTGTTGGGTATCTTAGTCTTACTCCTGTATCTTTGTTTTCAGGTTTACATTGTTTTATGTGGAGAAAATGGACTTTCTGAACCCAAAGAACTCTGCTATCCAGAGAAGCCCCTGTTTGAAAGCAATTCCAGACACACCTTTATCCTGAGGTATTCCAAAATATTCTGACTGCACAATTGAGGACAGAGAGACCAGTGAGAATTGGTGTAGCCTTATCATAAATTTTTAAAAAGTAGCATATTTAACATTACTTTTACATAGAAAGTATTGATGCACCCCAAAGTATTTTTGCAAATTTTGAAGTAGATTAAATGGTATGTTTATATGAGGGAAGAAAGAAGGAGAGGGATTTACTGATTTTTCAAGCTAGATAAGTTCATAATCACAGCATTTTCTATGTCACTAAAACTGTTTAATTATTGATTAGATTAACTCCAGATTTGAAAGAGCAGTGATATATGGCAATACAAGGGTAGTGGGACTGCAGGAAGAGAGATAATATATCTCTCTTTGAAAATACAAGTATTTTCATATAATAATATCTCAATAATATATCTCTCTTTGAAAATACAAGTATTTTCAAAAATATGAAATAATTGAACTAAATATTCTCTCCAGGAAAATTTCATTTAGATATTTATTATTTTGGGGTACTGTCTTCATTGAGATGGGGTTAAACTCAGACTAATGCACAAAGGACACAAATACAATCATGTGATGGATAGCAGTTCAAAGATAGACCATCTCTACGATAGTGGTCCCATACACAGCTTCAATGTGCAGCAGGCTATGCCATTTGGATTTGTATAAGTGCACTCCATGGTGTTCACACAACAAAACCGCCTAATAATTACATTTCTCAGAATTCCCATCATTAATTGTGACTGTACATTACTGAGGTTTCAGTGATTTTCTTTTAAGGAAAACTAGTAGATGGTGAAGAGTTGGTGGTCACCTCTTGCCACATCAGCCACCCTCTGAAGGAGAGAATTGGGGTTGACGCATCCCAGGACCCCATCACTGCACATGTGCCTGATGAGTCACTGTTGTCTGTCCTCAGTGTATCGGCAATGCTGGGCCCTCTCCAGAAGATCCACCTCTGGCATGACAGCCGTGGTCCTTCTCCTGCCTGGTATGTCAGCCATGTGATGGTGAAGGAGCTGTGCACACAAGAGGGACAGTGCTGGTTCTTCCCTGCCGAGTGCTGGCTGGCAGTGAGCAGGGTCCCATCACGTGAAGGCCGTGTGGAGCAGGAGCTCACCTGCCTGCAGAGGGGCCCAGGCTTTCGGAAGGTAAGCCAGCACCCAATGTCCCCCAGATGATGAGGTGCATAGCTCCACTTATCTCAGAAGCTGTTTCTCTAAATTCTTACAGTGTGTTCATGCTGATTTCAAGATAGTCACATCTTAAGTGACACATCATTTAAGTGGCCATCCAAGCATGGAATAATTATTCTTTCCAGTTTTAACTATTACAGTAATGAATTTCTTCTTTTAATTATAACTATAATAGCATTTACAGAATTTGTGATTATGTATTTTGTGGTGTCCAAAGGACTGTTTAAATACTTTTCAGTGCCTTGTGTATTTCCTGTACAACCAAGATAATTGATAAATAGAAAGCAGATGTGATCAGCACAAAATGGCAGGGGATTATGAAAAAAGACAAAATCACTTATAATCTCACAAATCAATTGTAAAACTTGATGCTTGCATGTTCCCGCCTTTCCCTATTTAAGAATATATTTTATATCATTTTAATAACAAATGTGATAAGGTGAGCTGTGCATTTTTTGCATTTTCTAATTTAATATTTAGAATCAATTTCTTCAAGAATTTTCTTTAAAATCATCATTGAATGGCCATATCATGGTGCATTGTACACTATTCTTTGCTTAAGTATCCATTTATAATTTACTTCCATTAATTTCCATGATTGAAAACATTTTCATGCATAATTTTGTGTTTCTGATGAACAATTTCTTTGGCTTGTCTCCACCAGGGATAGGAGGTTACTCTAGACCTACTTACTTACTCTACTTACTCTAGACCTTTTTTTCCTACTTACTCTAGACCTTTCTTTCCAATGCATCTTCATTGCCACCTGCCAATAGTGAGAGGGGCAGTTTATACCAAAGTTCCAGAGGCTCCTGCAAAAGTTTGCATTTGTCTCGCCCACTGAAATCATGGCCAGGTGTGACTAGAAGGCTGGGGCCAGTTGGGAAGGGCCTGGAGCACCCAACAGGACTCTGCATCCTGCTAACAAACAAGGAGAGTCTCAAAATTATGGCCCATCTGCTCAGAAAATGACTAGTTGTCAAGTAAGATTTCACCATCTTTGTATAAATATCCACCCTCAGTGAATGTCTCTTGCTGGTTTCTCTTTCAGCTTTTCTATTCAAAGTTCACAGAATACCTGGAAGATTTCCATGTCTGGGTCTCCGTGTACAGCCGTCCCTCCTCCAGCGGCTTCCTGCACACACCACGCCTCACTGTTGCCTTCACCTTGCTGTGCTCATATGCGTGTCTCACTGCTCTGGTCACCTCTGTGGGACAAGACCAGGTGGGAGGCAATGGACTTTCCTTAAAATCCCAGACCTACAGTACCTTCTTCACTAAGGAATAAGCAAAACTATATTCCTTGGAAAAAGATTTAGAGCAAGGAAAGCCAGTCTGTGTTTCTCAGTGTCCCAGAGGTGATGTGGTTGAAGCCTGCACTGGGCAAAGCAAGCACTGGCTGCTTTAGCTGACCCCCCTGATGTGCTCCACAGCATGGCTTCTGCAGGGGGCCAGCAGGCTCATGGCCTCAGAAGAATGCCCTGAATTTTTTAATATCAAAGCAATTCAAATTTTGAAAATACTCTGACCAAAAACCAGAACAATTCTGATGGTCATATTGCCCTTGGGGTGCCAGTTTGCAATTAACAACATGGGTCTAATTGTTCCTCATGAGACGTAGAAATTGATTATAAATCAGCATAAACAGCTAAATAAAATTTTTTCCTGAGGAAAAGTTTACAACATGACTTTTGAGGTAAGGAAGAACAGTCAAATTTGCTACTTAGGACAATCTCATAAGAAGTGAATGTGGTGTTGATCCATCTCAATAGCAGAAAGCACCATGTTCAGAGTGCATTAGTAACAGTGCATAGTAGCAGAAACTTTTTGAAAAGAATAGCATGGTGTGTATGTAGAATTTGGAATGAGGTGATCAAGAAATATGACCAAGTAGCAAGAAGAAAATAGCTGTGTCTACCTGGGACAAGAGTGGGACGTGGTGAGGAAACCTAAGATTGCCCTCTGCACTGACTAAACTCTTCTCTGCCACTAACCTCTTCTCTCTATTTTTGGTGCATTGGGGATGTTGATGCCTTCTTGTCAGATTGTAGCAAGGATTAAATTAGTTGAGCATGGCTAGCATACAGTGAGCACTCAGAAAACCTTCAATACAACAGGTTTGTTTGGTTAAAAAAAAAAAGTTTCTTGTGATTTTTTTTTTTTTTAACTCCTGAGATAGATTCAGGGAGACACACTTTGGTTAAATATAAGTATAAATACTGTGTGTTTTCAATTGGACTTACTCTCAGAGATGTAATTGCTGCTGTTGGATTATCATAGCTCCTGTTGGGTGTTGACCCCACAAATATCACTCTCGGATCCTTCCAGATGGGTTTCCTGTGCACCCTCTTGGCTTCTTCCGGGGCCCAGCTTTTGTCACTGCTCTTCAGGCTCAGCAAGGTACTAGCAATTCATCTGCATGGCGCTTCTGGGGAGCACCACACAGCCTAAACAATCTCCTTTTGTTTGTAGGAAGCTCCCAGGCATTCCAGAGCACCGCCATACCTACCCCGGAGAAGAGTGCAGACAGGGGTAGCTCAGGGTAAGTGTGCACTTTCAAATAGCTTTAAAGGTATTTTGTTACTGTTGTTTCTTTTAAATTCATAGCAACAGGAAAATAATGAAGTCTGAGAAGGAAGGGTCAAAGACACACCAGCATCACAACTGAACTTTTTATTATACTCATTAGAAGGGAGGTTGCACTTAATTTCATAGGTTTGAAAACCTATTTATGACCTTGCCCAAGCCCACACCAGATGAGAGTGTCAAAATCCTTTGCAGCTGGGCCTCATCTTTTAAGGAGGCTTGATCTTGTGCTGTCAGAGGTAACAGTGTTTTCTAAAGAAAGCACTCTCCTTAGAAGCCCTAAGTGCCTACCTTAGCATCATAAGTTTGATTTTTTTTTTCAATCAGACCCTAATTTCCAGAGAAGGATCCGAGGTGCACAGAAGACACACGAGGTCAGTATATTTATGCACAGCACTCATTCTCTAGCATGAAAATCTAACAATAAGATCTCTCTGGCATTCTCTCTTGGCTGTGGTCTGGCTATGGATGATCAGGGTCAGGGTGGGAGGGAGACAAGGGAAGACACACGGGAAGCTGTTGTGCTCAGCAGGGCCACAAGCAAAGGCAGGCTCTTCAGAAAGAGAAGGTCCTTTCCCAGAACACAAGTCCAGGAAGCTCCACAGAGGCCAAAAGGGAAGGTATGCAGCCCAGCAGAGTTTGGAAAGCTATTATGTGTGAAGGCAGTGACCTTTTAGAAGCTGGGCCTGAGTGGCAAGGTGGTGGCAGTTCTAGTGGGAGAGACACTGGGGAATAGCAAGGGGTGGTTTTTACTCTGCTACTCCCCAGGCTCCTGTGAGAAGGGGGACTTGAGAAGTTGCCTGGTACTTCCTTATTTAACAAATCTCCTGTTTGTTAAATAAACCCCATTATTGTTGTTCCCTGAGGATGAGTGGTCTTGCAGGCCTCAGACAAGAGCTGACACCATCTGTGACAGGGTATTTTGAAGGGTAGAACCACATTGTCACCTTGGATCTATGTGATTGTGTGACTCTTCTCTGGAAACATTTCAGGATATGTATGATGCCTTATACTCTAATCCTTATTTGGTTCTGTGGCTCCCATTCCTGAGTGTGGGACTTCATCTCCAGACCTGCTCCAGTCCTGCTTCCTCTACTTTCCTGCTTGGGTTATGCATATTCCCCTTTTCACAAGAGGTTCGCCCACCCCATTGCTCTGAACTGCCACTATCTGCTCTGGCCAGGACCTGGTCCCCTTCCAAAGGTCATGAGCATAGTCACTCTTGGCTGCACTGATCATGGCAGTTGTCACGGCTACCCTCTGTGGGGTACCAAGGACTATCAGCTGACTGCCTGTGCTTCCTCACCCAGAATCCATCCCCAGGCTGGGCTTAACAAAGTGGGTTGGCCATGTCCATTTACTTCCCAAGAAGGCTCACAAACTATGCTACTTCAGAGGGCAAAATAGTCTATGGAGAGCCCTATCCATTGAGACATTTCCCTTAGCCTGACTTTGTTTTTTCTAGGAAAACCCATTGGCCATTCTCTCTGAAAGTACCAGGGCCTGGAGGAGGGTGACCAGCAGTGATGAAGCAGGTTGTCTGTCCCCCGAGTTGGAGGGCTGTGGCGCTGACCCATGCCAGCAGACCCAGAGGGAGAAGAGGGACCATGACATTCCTGGTTCACACCGTGGCATTGGTGGTGCGTGTATACAATCTGCAGAGGTGGGAGGCAGGGCATCTGGAGTTGGGCCACGTGTGCCCAAATGTTCTGATAACATCTAAAACAGGTACATCTGAAATGGAGGCTACATTTTTACCCAGACTGGAGATGGTCGTTACTAAATACAGTCAACTACCATGAAGACCCAGCTTTTCTATTGCAAGAAATACAAATTCCATGAACTTGTGACACTGTGAAAACAATGAAAAAACAGTGTTACAACAATGTTAAAATGGCCAGTTAAAGATGCCAGTTATCTGTGAAGAAGACAGATCATGCAATGTTGACTTTCTTGTCAGAAAAGACAAAAAAATATATTGAAAAAAAGTAAAAACCTTCACCCCAGTAAAATTATGAATCTCTGGATATTAGTTAGGGTTTTTCAGAGAAACAACAAAGTGTAAAACAATGCTAAACATGCACCAAGGTGGGAACAGTTCACTGTGTGTTCTCACCCATGCACTAACAAATGCAAGACCACTCATCCTCAGGGAACAACAATAATGGGGTTTGTTTAACAAACAGGAGATTTGTTAAATAAGAAAGAGTTCTAAGGCCACACATGGCTGGCTCTCTCACCCCAGACTGTGTCCACAGTGTCCAGTAGTCCCAAACAAAGGCCACTCATGTAAGATGGTGTTGTCCTATCAATGAGGGCCTGGACTTGGTGACACACCAGTCAGCAGTGCACCAAGGTCTAACTCATGGTGGCAGCTGGTGGGACTGCTCACAGGTGGGACTGCCAAGGTGACATTACAGCAGCCCACAGCAACAGTCTGAAGGCTGGATAGCACCAGACACCAGACTGGACAGCAGTGGAGGAAACTGAGGTGCCAGATTATCAAAAGTAGTTGACAGCTCTCAAAGATGGCCAGACACAGAGTGCTGGTCACCTGTCAAAAGTGCGGATTAGCACCTGTCAGAGAAGCCAGTCACCACTGGTCACCAAGAGGCAACGTCACAATGTCAGAGACACCAGTGTTACAGTTCTCTCTAAGTTGTTGGCCTACACCAACAAACAGCTCTTTGTGAGCTATTGGCATAAGCCAACAGCAACCAGATCTTTTTGAGACATCAGGCCATGGCAGTGTCAGAGGCAGGATCAGATGCAGGTGCAGCAGCCAGTCTCTGTGAAAGTCTGTGGAGGCCTGTAGGTCTGTTGAATCCCACAGAGGTCATCTGCTCAATGCTTCTTCAGAGGCAGTGCACAGTCTAGGGCAAGGCCCTAGAGCCCTAGTATGCCTGCTCACACTAGAGGCAGCAGGCAGGGAAACTCCCACCCATGCCTACTAAGTGAAAGCTGCCGGAGCCCTGAGGGCTCCTTTGCTCAAACACTGCTGGCAGCTGGGAAGAGGAATGCCTGCAGCTATAGTCTGAGGTGTGCACCTGTGCCTCAGCTGCAACAAGGCTGGATGCCCCCGATACTGTGTGGAGGGGCAAGGGTGCAGGGAGGAAGCCAGATTCATCCTGAGCCTTGTGCAGTGGGTTTCTGGTTTCAAAAGAACACATAGAAGGGATTGTAAGGAATTGATTCATGTGATTATAGAAACTGACATGTCCCAAGATTTGCAGTTGGCAGCCTAGAAACCCAGAAAAGCAGATGCCTCAGCTGAGAGGCCAGGTAGGAGGAATTCTCTCTTACTTAGGCCTCAATTGACTGGACAAGGCCCACCCAAATCGGGGAGGCCAGCTGCTTCACTCAGTCCACCAAATTAAAAATTCATTTTGTACTGGAATTTATTTAAATTTCCTCTTAATGATTATATCCCTATTCTCCCCATCCCAATTTTGTTACCATAATAAGTAATAAGTAATACTGATAGTATTCTGTGCCCTCTTGGTTATTTCCCAAGAGAAAGAATTTTATAATTATTACAACTTAAATACGCATAGCCGTTAACTTGTTTGTATTTCTGCTTGCCATTCCAGTTCACATTGAATGCAATTGCTAGTGCAATGTGTCTCTTACACTTCTGTCTTGTTCTTTTTTAGCTCATTGGTAATGTTTTTTCCCTCTTTCATCTAAATAAATATAAACTTTGGTAGTGTCCTCTCCCACCACCGTCTCTTGTGCCCCCTTTCCTTTCCCTCTCTTCTGCCTCTTAACCTCGGAGCCCTCAAGCTATTTACCAATGTCCATAATATTTTTTTGTGTTTTATCTTGTTGAATTATCTGCTACGTAAATGCTATGTAAAATTTTTGTTTTTATTGTTCTGACTTTGCTAAACATAATTCGCTCAACTTCTTTTATTTTGTGGAAATGGCAGAATTTCTTTTTTTTTAAGTAAGAACCTTCAAGTTCATTAATTAATTAATTAATTAATTTTAAGATTTATTTATTTATTTATACAAGCACAGAGTACAGTCAGAAGCACGAAGGGTGAGAGAATTCACCAGAGCCAGAGTGGGGAACAGAACAGGGAGACTGACGAAATACACTGCTGAGGGGAGCAGCGGGTGCGACAGGAGAGGTCTGCTTAGCCATGTGGGATTCTTGCCGGCTGGCTGGGATCAAACCCAAGCTGCAGAGGCTGCAGACAGCTTCACAGTGCAGCGCTCAACCGCCTGCGCCACCAGGGAGCCCCTGGATGTCTTCTTAATATGTGCCGTTCTCAGGGGTATGAGGTAGTACATCACTGTAGTTTTAATCTGCATCTTTAGTATTAGAAGTGATAATGAACACTTATTTTCATATTTTGTTTGGCCTTCTGGATATCCTCTTGGGTGACTTGTCTGTTTATATCTGCTACCCATTTGTTAACTGGGTAATTTGGATTTTTATAGTATTGAATTGTATGAGATTCTAGTGTATCTTAGATATTAATCCCTTATCAGGTATATATTGTGTAATATTTTCTCCCATTCAGTAGGGTGTCTATTATTCATTTGTATTTTTTTGCAATATATAGAAATTTTTTAATGAGGTAATCCTAATTGTTTATTTTTTTTAATAAGTTCCCTTGTCAAATGGATTGAAACATCAAAAAATATCTTTATTGTTGACATCATAGAATGCGTCATCAATTTTTTTCCTATTGTAATAGGTCTTATACCTAAATCTTTAATCCATTTGGAATTTACTTTTGAGTATGGTGTTATTGAGTAATCCAGCTTCAGTCTTTTATGTGTTGACTTTATAATTTTCCCAGCACCATTTATTAAAAACATTAAAAGACACTGTCTTTTCTCCATTTTATGGTCTCCATATACGGGTGTTTTATCATAGATGAGGTGATGGTATATGGATAGATTCATTTCTGGACTTTGAATTCTGTCCCATTGGTCTATGTATTTATTTTTGTGCCCAAACCATGTTGTTTTTAATGCTGTTGCTTTATAGCAAAGCTTGAGGTCATGCATGTGATGCCTCCACTCTCTTTCTAAGGGTTGCTTTTGCAATTTGAGACCTATTGTGTTTCCATGTAAATTTCAGTATTTTTCATTGAGTTCCTTTGAATAATACAGCTGCAATTTTGATGGAGATTGCATTAAATTTATATACCATTTTTGGTGGGATAGTCATTTTGATTATATTGATGATCCTCATCCATGAGCATGGATGTCCTTCCATCTCCTTATGTTGCTATCAAAGTCCAACAGTAATATTTAGTAGTTCTCGATGTATAGGTGTTTTATCTCCTTTTTAGGCATATTCTGAAGTATTTATTCTTTTTTGAAGCAATTATAAATTGAGGGTTTTTTTATTTTTTTAAAGATTTATTTATTTATTCATAAAAGAACCAGGGTACAGGCCAGATTCGCGGGAGGGTAAGGATTCACCAGAGACAGAGCGGGGAACAGAACAGGCAGACTGACTGAAACACTGCTGAGGGGAGCAGCAGGCAAGACAGGAGAGGTCTGCAGCACCATGTGGGACCCTCGCAGGCTGGCCGGTATTGAACTGGGGCTGCAGAGGCTACGGGACAGATTCACAGTGCTGCGCTCAACCACCTGCACCACCAGGGGAGGCCCGAGGGTTTTTTTTTTTAATGTATATATGCTGGACTAATTTGTGTGACCGACTGGACTATCAAGTCTCAGGCTTGTTCTAATCTGCCCCATTGTTACTTTACACCTTCTTTGTGTTAAGTGATTTAGGTGCTTGTTGCCTTGATATTTATTCTTTTGTTGCTTTATAATAACCCCTCTAGTATTTCTTTCATGTGCTGCATAGTATTGATAAATTCTTTTGGTTTTTGCTTTCAGTGAAGCTCCTTGTTCTTCCTTCTATCTCGATTGTTAATCTTGCTCTGCAAAGGATTCTGAACTGGAAGTCTCTTTCTCTAAATGTTTTTAAATATCTCTTTGCAGTCCTTTTGTGGTTATAATGTTTTTGCTGAAAAGTCTACTGACCAATTACAGGTTACCCTTTTTTCTCTTGATATTTTTAATCTTGATATTTTAATCTGCTGTCCTGCTTGTTATTTTTAACAGCTTTACTATATGTGTCTTGGAGTATGTCTGTCTTTTATTATTTTGTCTGGAATTTTTTGGGTTTCTTGGATCACAGTTCATTTCCCAGTTGAGATGGTTTTAAATTATTATTTCACTGAAATATGTTTTCAATACTGTTCTCTTTTTATTCTCCCTCTGGGATCTCCATGATCCAGGTATTATTTCTCTTTAAGCTGTCCCAGAGCCCTCTTACACTGGTTTCATTTTTTTAATTATTTTCTCTCCACCTAATCCTATTGTTGTGTTTTCCAACATTGTTTTTCAAGTTCATTCTCTCCAATGCTTGCTTATCCGCTATTCAGGTCCTCTGTTGTGTTTTCTTACATCAGCTGCACCACAGCTGTTCCTCTTTCTAGCAGGAAGTGCTGTCCAGTTGTTTTTCCGACCCATTAAACTGATGCTCCTGTTGTGCAAAGTGATAGTTTTTCCCTTAGAGTCTCTTGGGAGTTTTGCTGTGTGTATTTAGAGGAGGAGAGTTTGGTATCTTCACTCTGCTTGCATTTTGCTGGACCCCTCTTCTGTCAATTCAAATGATCATCTCATCCAGAAATACCCTGTCACACACACCAGAATAATATTTGACCAAATCTCTGTGCACCCCATGGTCCAGCCAATTTATATCAAATTTGCACAGTTGATATGGATGGAAATGAGGCGCTCTGTTAACAACTGCTCTGCATGCTCTTCCTCAGCCCTTGGCGGTGAATTTGAAGGACATGCCATGCACTGGTGGCCAAAGGCACCTCTACTTTGGTCAGGCTCTGCAGCGTGGGCCATTTGTGGGATGGTTTCAGTTGTCTGTGGCCTGGGGACAGGATTTCTAGGATACAGGTGAGTTTGTCATAATTTTTTTGAATATCCTTTGATGGAAAGTCTAGCATTTATAAAGAAATTCTTGTGTTTCTGGGAACTCATGAATATATTGTAGGTACCAGGTGTGACTGCTATTATGTTAGCTCTCATTTCTCCCTCCTGCCTCCAAGATGGTGAAGAGCATCATATACAAACACCAGAGGGAGGTTCCAGCTGGCAGCTCTCCAGTGGCAGTGCAGCCGGGTAGAGTTCAGGTTGTTACAAGCACTCTCACCCAAGCAAGGGGTCCCTAAGAGGAAGCCTCTGAGCCAGATGTTCTGGCTGAGGGCATGTCCTTAATCACACCTGTTAAATGAAATACCGTATATACATCTGGGAGATAGGGTATTGCTCATGTTTTATCGATTCATTGTCCCACCACACACACTGACTCCCTTGCTGGCCCCGCACCTATCCCCAAGGGTTACTCAGTGTGGCTCCCGCAGGCCTGTGTCTTCCTAAACCATAGAATAATCCTGGCTCCTAATACCTAGTTTGTAGGGTTTTAGCAGAAGAAAAATAATTTCCTCAGTGCTGTCGTACCACGCAATGCCTGGTACTTGATCAGAGTTCAGCAGATGAAAACTCACTTTTATTGTTGTTATTGCTCTTATTGCTAATATTTACCTCCACCCTCCCCTTCCACTTTCCCACCTCTGCACTTTCATCTGTCATTGCTGGGTTCCCTCTCTCTTTTTCACTGAGCAGCTTCCATCCCCTCTTGGCAAAAAAGAGACCGTCACCCCACCAATGGCAGGATGGCACAGTGCTCTCCCTCTGCAGCCCCTCTCACAGGGGCTTTCTTTAGGATGTGGACTCTGTCCCTGAATGTGGAAGGTTCTCCCTCTGCAGGGCTGACACTCTCTCCCTGGCACAGGTTTGACTCAACACAGTGCGTCCAGTGGCTGCATCTGCTGACTGTCTCCGTGGTCTGCTGTGTTCTACTCACCCAGCCACTCATGGTGAGCAGTGCCCTCCCTCTGTGTTAGGGTCACTCTCCACCAATAGGAGGCCTGCAATGGGACATAGTGGCTCCATTTTGGTGACATATTACTTTTATTCACATTTTGATCCAACATACAATGAGAACAAACTGGGAGCCAGGCTTGGGCTGAGGTACACGGGGCCTCTTAATCCATCCCAATAAACCCCATGAGGGGTGACCCTTTTAACTCCCATTTTTCATGTCAGGATACTAAACCTAGAGGCAGAGGTCACTGGCCCATGGTCTCATCTGGGGAATAGGCCAGGAACCAAAGGCAGGTGACAGGTGTGGTCTGCAGAGTCCTGCCCCCTTCAGGAACTAGGGACAGCTCCGTGGGGCTCACCAAAATGGTATATGGCTGACTCTGGCATGTTTCCTCCAGATAGGTATTGTGGCTTTGTGCTTTGCCTGGAAAAGGAAAAATGACAAGCACTTTTTCAGTGCATCTTTACACGCTGCTACCAAGGATCTGGACGCTGAACTCGAAGGACCTCCTGGGACCTGCAGTACCCTGTCTTCCAGGTGCAGAGGTCCCAACTGTGCCAGCGAGATTGAAAATGTGAGTGTTAATTGAGCTTAAGGAACTGCACTGTATTCTCATCATGGACATTCTGAATTTATACTTTGAATTCAAATTTGAAGGCTGTTGCTATGTTTTAATTTCTGATCCTTCTTCATGTGCTCATATATATGTGATGAATACATCAGATCTATTGACTCACCTTTACCTGAATCCCAAAGAAAGCAGAGCATCAAAAAAAAAAAATGATATTTTAAAATATTGACACAAAGGAGATCTATAATTTGTGGCCATGACTTTGGAGTACTTTTAGGCCTTTTGCATTTCAATGGGTCCACAAAAAATTTCTTTCTCCTTCCCATATCATTTTTCCTGTCATGTGAAAAGCATTCCCTGGGACAGCGTGATGACATGAAAGAAGAGAACAGGTCTGTTTTTATCTTAGTGTGCACCATCTGCAGCAGGCCTGTGTGCTCACCTGGAACAACTAGAAGTCAGTGTGACTGAGGATACAACCCATTTACTCCCAGTCAGACCTCATCTCCTCTTCTCCCCGCTCTGCTACCTTCCTCTCAAAAGATACTTGGGAGCTCCTGATGGCTAAGTGGCCATCTGAATACCAATCTGAGGCCTCTTCCCCTAAACTGAGGCCTAACCTGCCAGCATGACCTGGAACTCCTGTTGATGATGATAAACTTCATACCAGCCACTGTCAATAAATACAATTTATTGACACAAATCATGTCATTTGTTCCTTGCAACACCTTATGAAGTGGGAGCCTTATTGTGTCCTGTTTTAAAGTGAAACTTAGTTCACTAAGGTTATTAAGCTAAGGTCACGTTAATAGTTACCATGGATCTGGCCTCTAAATCTTCACTGGGATGCACCCCTCTTCTGGATGCACCCTTGGTCCTCAGCATATGTGCTTTGGAGGGGCAGCGTTGTCCTGGTTTGCTAGTACTTTCTAGATATTCCCTTTCTCCCTGAAAGATTTTCTTTCTCATGTTTCCTTTCCTTTGGTTTGTTCTGTTCTTCCTCTGCCTGTAATCTCAGTCTCAGGGCTAAGATTCTTCTGATGAACTAAGCCCTGATCCAGTATTGATGCCCCAGCCACTTGTGAGGCCAAACCTGGACCCACCCTGCATGGTTGTCCCATTAAAATCTTAATATTTGATGCCCCACATGCCAGCTCCCCAAAGCATACACCCCTGTGTCCTCTTCCTTTTTAAGAATCAGGTGGAGCATGGCTTCAAGGGAGCATCTGAACCCCTAAGATTCTGCTTGAATAAACTTCCTCCTTCATACTCTCCTTATTTGTGAACTTGTCATATACTTCTGAGCGAAAGGGCTGCCTCTGAATTCTTAGATATCCTGAGTACTCTAGGATAAGTCTGGCTCATGAGACGTGTGTAGAATGAGTGAATGAGAAATAACTGTATGAATACATTCCCTAACTGTTACCTGTTTGCTACCATACTCTCACCATAAACATATTCAATATAAGAGCAATAATGCTCTCTTAAAAAATAGAAAACAAGGTCATTTTCTGCTAAAACTATACTTTAAAATGGCTTCTCCACATTTTGGACATCTCTAAGTGAAAATATGTGCAAATTCCAAAGAAATTGCCCTTAAATATCATGATAGCAGCCTGTTTGCCTTCCTTGCCAAAACAGCCAGCCTGAGATATCAGCAGTGTCAGTGCACATATTCCCCTTTCTGCCTCACTGCCCAACATCTCAGACCCATAATACACACAAACAAAGCATTCCCAAACATGGTCAAATGCAAAGGTGGCAATGAGGCTCCTTCTTGCTCAGCAGAGCATCCCAGCCTCTCTTCCTCCACCTCCAACCCCAGGTTCACAAGGCTGTTTTCCCTACAGCTCATGGATGCCCGACAACAAGCACGCCGCCTGCACTGGGCATGTCCAGTTTCCAAAGCCCAGCTCCAAGTTATCAGAGCGAGGATGAGAAGACAGATGAGAGCACAAGTAGCACTAAGGTGGGTGGACACAGAGTGTTGCCAGCACCTGGAGCGGGAAGAACATGTAGAAAGGATTCCTGGCCCCAAACCATCCTGTTCCATAAAACCATTTGTTCCCCAGCAAATGGGATACAGAGAAATGAACTGGAGTCAGCTGGGTTCTCTAAGTACCTGTGCAGAAGCTCTTTAATTTGATGTAGTCCCAGCTGTTGATCTTTGTCTTCACTATCACTGCTTTGGGTGATATGTCTGTAAAGATGTCTTTGATGTGCATATCACATAGTGTTTCGCCTATATTTCCTTCTATGTATTTAATGGTTTCATGTCTTATGTCTAGTTCTTTAATCCATTTTGAGTTGATTTTTGTGTATGGTGTGAGGTAGTGGTCAAGCTTCATTCTTTTGCATGTAGCGACCCAGTTTTCCCAGCACCATTTATTGAACAAACTTTCTTTGCTCCAATGCATAGTCTTTGCTCCTTTGTCAAAGTTTAGTTGACCATAAATCTGTGGGTTTATTTCTGGATTTTCTATTCAATTCCATTGGTCTGTGTGTCTATTCTGGTTCCAATACCATGCAGTTTTGATGATTATGGCTTTGTAGTATAGTTTGAAGTCTGGGAGTTTGATGCCTCCATTTCCTTCTTTTTTTTAAGGAGAGCTTTGGCTATTTGGGGTTTTGGTGATTCTATATGAATTTCATCAATAATTGTTCTATTTCTTTGAAGAATGACATTGAAATTTTTATTGGAATAGCATTGAACCTGTAGATTGCTTTTGGTAGGATGGTCATTTTAATAATGTTTATTCTTCCAATCCATGAGCAGGGGATGCCTTTCCATTTCTTTGTGTCTTCATCTATTTCTTTCTTTTTTTTTTTAAATAATAAATTTTATTTTTATATTCCCCATACAATTGCAGCCCCCCCATTCTGACCCCAATCCCTCCCCTCCCGCCCCTCACCCCCCAAAAAGTGTCTCTGCTTCATAGTTTTTTGTTGATTTTGATTTTCACTTTCTTATAGTTATTCATTTTCCTGGTCCCATATTTAAGTTTTCTAGATTCCTGCTATAGTGAGACCATCCGGTATTTTTCTTTTTCTTTTTGGCTTATTTCGCTGACCATGATCCCTTCCAGCGCCATCCATGTTGCTGCAAATTGCATGTGTTTATCTTTTTTGAATGCTGAGTAATATTCCATGATATATATGTACCACAACTTCTTGATCCAGTCATCTATTTTTGGGCATTTGGGCTGTTTCCAAAGCTTAGCTATTGTAAATAGTGCTGCTATAAAGATAGGGGTGCAGGTGTTCTTTGGAATAGATGTTTCTGTGTCCTTTGGGTAAAGACCTAGGAGTGGAATTGCTGGATCATATGGAAGCTCTATGTTTAGTAGGTCCAGAAATCTCCACACAGCTCTCCATAGTGGTTGGACCAGTTTGCACTCCCACCAACAGTGCAGAAGAGTTCCTTTTTCTCCACACCCTCGCCAACATTTGTTGTTGCTAGTTTTTCTAATATGTGCCATTCTCACTGGTGTAAGATGGTATCTCATGGTAGTTTTGATTTGCATTTCCCTGTTTACAAGTGATGTTGAACATTTTTTCATATGCCTGTTGGCCATTTGCATTTCCTCTTCAGAGAAGTTTCATTTTAGCTCTTCTGCCCATTTTTTGACTGGGTTATTTTCTTTGTTGTTGCTGAGTGTCATCAGCTCTTTGCAGATTTTTGTGATCAGTCCTTTATCATTAGTGTTGTGTGCAAAAATGTTCTCCCAGTTGGTGTGGTTTCTCTTTGTTTTTGTTATTGTCTCTTTTGCTGTACAGAAGCTCTTTAATTTGATGTAGTCCCAGCTCTTTAGTCTTTGCCTTCACTATCACTGATTTGGGTGATGAGTCTGTAAAGATGTTTTTGATGTGCAAATCACGTAGTGTTTCGCCTATATTTCCTTCTATATATTTTATGGTTTCAGGTCTTATGTCTAGTTCTTTAATCCACTTTGAGTTGATTTTTGTGTATGGTGTAAGGTAGTGGTCAAGCTTCATTTTTATGCATGTAGCAACCCAGTTTTCCCAGCACCATTTATTGAACAAACTTTCTTTGCTCCAATGCATAGTCTTTGCTCCTTTGTCAAAGATTAGTTGACCATAAATCTGTGGGTTTATTTCTGGATTTTCTATTCGATTCCATTGGTCTGTATGTCTGTTCTTGTTCCAATACCATGCAGTTTTGATGATTATGGCTTTGTAGTATAGTTTGAAGTCTGGGAGTGTGATGCCTCCATTCCCTTCTCTTTTTCTCAGGAGAGCTTTGGCTATTCGGGGTTTTTTTGTGATTCCATATGAATTTCATCAATAATTGTTCTATTTCTTTGAAGAATGACATTGAAATTTTGATTGGAATAGCATTGAATCGGTATATTGCTTTTGGTAGGATGGCCATTTTAATAATGTTTATTCTTCCAATCCATGAGCAGGGGATGTCTTTCCATTTCTTTGTGTCTTCTTCTATTTCTTTTAACAGTGTTTTATAGTTTTCCTTGTATAGGTCCTTTACCTCTTTTGCTAGATTTATTCCCAAATATTTGATTTTTTTTTGTTTCAATAATAAAAGGGATGGTTTTTTTGATTTCTTCTTCTTCAGATTTATTGTTTGTGTATAGGAAGGCTACTGACTTTTGCGTGTTGATTTTGTATCCTGCCACTTTACTGAACTGATTGATGAGTTAAATTAGTTTTTCTGTGGATTTTTTGGGTTCTCTAAGTATATTATCATATCATCTGCAAATAGTGATAGTTTGACTTCTTCTTTTCCTATTTGGATTCCTTGGATGTCTTTCTCTTGTCTTATTGCTCTGGCTAGGACTTCCAGTATTATATTGAAAAGCAGTGGTGAGAGTGGACATCCTTGTCTTGTTCCAGATCTTAATGGAATTGCTTTCAGCTTTTCACCATTGAGAATGATACTGGCTGTTGGCTTGTCATAGATGGCCTTTATGATGTTGAGGTATGTTCCTTGTTTCCCAAGATTTTCAAGGGCTTTTATCATGAATGCGTGTTGCACTTTGTCGAAAGCTTTCTCAGCATCTATTGATATTATCTTATGGTTTTTATATTTCGTTTTGTTGATGTGTTGGATAACGTTGATTGATTTTCAGATGTTGAACCATCCTTGTGTCCCTGGAATGAATCCTACTTGGTCGTGGTGAATTATCTTATGTATACATTGTTGGATTCTGATAGCTAAAATTTTATTGAGGATTTTTGCATCAGTGTTCATTAGGGAGATTGGCCTGTAGTTTTCCTTTTTTGTGTTGTCCTTGTTTGGTTTTGTTATTAGTGTAATGTTGGCTTCATAGAATGTGTTTGGTATTGTCCCTTCCTTCTCAATTTTTTGAAAGAGTTGTGAAGGATAGGCACTAATTCATCTCTGAATGTTTGGTAGAATTCATTTGGAAATCCATTAAGTCCTGGGCTTTTGTTTTTGGGGAGGTTTTTGATTACCATTTCAATTTTGCTGCTTGTAATTGGTCTGTTTAGGTGTTCTATTTCTTCTTTATCTAGCTGTGGGTGATTGTAGAGTTGTAGGAATTTGTCCATCTCCTCTAGATTGTTGAACTTGTTTCCATACAACTGTTCATAGTAGTTACTGATTATTCTTTTGATTTCTGCTGTGTCTGTTGTGATTTCTCCTCTTTCATTTGTGATCCTGTTTATTTGTGCTTTCTCCCTTTTCTCCTTTGTGAGCCTGGTTAGGAGTTTGTCTATTTTATTTATTTTTTCAAAGAACTAGCTCTTGGTTTCATTGATCTTTTGGATTGTTTTTTTAGTTTCAATTTCATTTATTTCTGCTTTGGTTTTTATTATTTCTTTTCTTCTACTGGTTTTGGGGTTTTTTTGTTGTTCTTTTTCTAGATCTTAGAGCTTCGAGATTAGGTTGTTTCTTTGAGTTCTTTCTTGTTTCTTGATGTGAGCCTCTATTTCTATATATTTTCCTCTTATTACTGCTCTTGCTGCATCCCATACATTTAGGAAATTGGTGTCCTCATTGTCATTCAATTCAAAGCATTTTTTAATTTCTTCTTTGATCTCCTCATTTATCCAGTGGTCTTCCAGTAGTGTGGTTTTCAATCTCCATGAGGTAGGAGAGTTCCTTGCCTTCTTTTTATGGTTTATTTCTAGTTTGATGCCTTCATGGTCAGAAAAGATGGTTGGTATGATTTCAATCTTGGTGTATCTGTTGATCTTTGTCTTGTGTCCCAGTATGTGATCAATCCTGGAGAATGATCCATGTGTGCTTGAGAAAAATGTGTACTCTGTTTTTTTGGGGTTTAGTGTTCTATAGATGTCTGTTAAGCCCAAGTGCTCTAGGTCCTTATTTAGAGCTTTCATGTCTTTACTTATTTTTTTTCTCGTTGATCTATCCATTGTTGTTAGTGGTGTGTTGAAGTCTCTCACTACGTATGTGTTTTCTCTGATGTCTGTTTTCAGAGAGGACATCAGTTGTCTGATATATTTTGGTGTTCCTTCGTTTGGTGAGTATATGTTAATGAGTGTTATTTCTTCTTGAAGTATTGTCCCCTTGATCATAATGTAGTGACCATTGGGGTCTCTTTTTATCTTTTTGAGTTTGAAATCTGTTTTATCTGATATAAGTATAGCTGTTCCTGCTTTCTTTTTTGGTCCATTTGCTTGTAGGATTGTTTTCCATCCTTTAACTTTGAGTCTATTTTTATCTTTTGTAGCTAAATGTGTTTCCTGGAGACAGCAAAAGGTTGGGTTTTGTTTCTTAATCCAGGCTGCAACTCTGTGTCTTTTTATTGAAGAGTTTAGTCCATTTACATTTAGAGTTAGTAGTGATATGTTAGCATCTGTATTTGCCATTGTGTTTGTCTTTCCTTTGATTTTATTTATTTATTCTTTTAATAACTTTTTTTTTGTTTGGCCTTCTTTCATTGTTATTCATCCCTCTGAGGTTCTGCCTTTAGGACTCCTTGTAGTATTTTTTGGAGTGGGGGT